CAAAGTTGGGTGAAGATGGTTTATCTGGTGAAGCAAAATGCAAGCATTTAGATTGTCAAATCGTTGAGATGAAAAAATGGTGTACATCTTTGGGATCCAGAAGCCATTCTTCTCATTAAGCAACTCCAAGAGAAGGTGCATTTCTTCTATTCTTTACGTACGACTAAAACACCTATTTAAGTAGCTTTTTTTCTTCTTCAATTTTGGCTTTTTGCTTAAACTTTGATATGTTCTGTCCAAAAGATAAACATGCTGTAAATGGACAAATCTTCTTTTTTTTGTCATCTGATATTATTATTGAAACTGTCAAAGAAAAATACAAGAAAAGACACAGAGATGAAATTCTAAGCCGGCGGAACAACAAGATGTCCTTGGAAACAAAGCCCAAAAGAGGGAACCAAAGCTGGCAGAAAACCAATTTTTTTCGGAAACAAAACCCATAACTAAAATAGAATAAAATTAACTAAAACTCAAACAAGGTATTAACACCAAAATCTGCAGAATCACATAGATTTTGAGAGTCTATAAACTTGATTTACTGTTGTCGCCCAAGGCCCACCGAACAGTAACATCATCTTCAAGTAACCAGAAACAGAAGACTTCATAACCCGGCAAGACAGAACCATTAACACTTCCGGATGCGGCAGCAACACAAACATGTGTGCCCATTTTTCACCTAAATAGAAGCTCCAAAGAAACAGCCAAATCATAACAGATCTAGAAAGAAGCGAAGCCTAACCAGTAAAAGCTGGAAAGCGATCATAGAAACTCCACAAAAATAAGAAAAACATGCAAGTTTGGAATCAAAAAACCAAGAAGAGAAAAGTCAAAATATCTATTTAGAAAGGGAGAACTAGATCTGACAAAAAGAGATCAAAAATCGCAGATTAGTTATAGATCTGATGAAGCTTGTTTCATCAAAACTCAGAAAAACCAAATCCAGATCAGATCTATTCAAGTCAGAAATTTAAAAACAAAACCATAAAAAGAAAAAAAATCCAAACCGAAACCATGGCCGTGAAAACCCATAGCTCGGCCGGAGACTCAACACACGAGATCTGCTTTTTTTTTCTTTCTTAGAGAGAAGGCGGAGAGAAGAGAGAGAAAGTTTTCTGACTGATATTCTTCTTCTTGAAATAGGCAAGTCTTCAGTCAAGCAAAATCTTAATGATCTTGTCACGGTAGCTACTGAGCAGAATATATGTGCCCGGGAAAAAAATGCTGAGGTATATGTGCTTCTTTTATTGATTGTGATTTGCTGTTCTATCCAACCACTTAAAAAGATAAATACCTTTGTGCTTTATAATATATTTGACTAATGAATTCAAGACCTTGGTTAGAAGGTTCAGAGAAAAATAACTAAATAACACAGTATATAAGCTATATAAACACCCACACCAAAATCTAATACATTTCTTACTTTTTCCTTCCCCACAACCGTTGGAACCCTATTAGAAAAAGTTTCTTTGTTCAAGCCGATCCGAAGCCAAATCTGCCAACACTCGTCTATCGGACTATCAACCGCGTTGGAGTGCTATTGACTATCCTTCTATAGAGAGATAATCAACAACACTCCAACCTCCGAAAACATAGAGGGGAATGCTCGTTATAATGAATATTGAGGACAACGCGAGAGGTATGTCTCGATTTGGAGATTTTATGTTTAAGAAGATGATGTCATTTCATTTAACAAGTGATTTTTTTTAAAAGTTTTAACCCTGTTTAATCGATCTGTTATTTCAATTGATACTATAACTAATTTGACTTAGCCAACCAAAGTTTGTGATCTAAAATAAAGTCAATATAAATGAATCGTTTAACAATAGCCAGTAAAAAATAGATGAAATAGTTATCTAATCATTCAAATAACATAGAATATACATTAACATGAATTACGACATTCTCAATCTTAATTCAAATTTCTTGTTTTTAATCAGATTTTTTCCTATAAATTTAAATAATGTAGGATCAAAAGGAAAAAAAAAAATATATATATATATATAATGGATCTAAACATTATACCGCCAAATTTTTAGGAAAAAAAACACTTCCAAATGGATGGAATCTTATCTAACTATTTTTTTTGTTTGTTTCAACTTTTTGTCTACTTTGACAAGTATATAAGTTAAAAGGTATAACCTTTTGAAGAAATTTATGAGATTCCTAAGTCACAATTTGCACAACTATGGCACATGACAAATTCATAATCCACCTTAATTCTAAAATCCTTTGGCATCCACTCCAATCCATAGATACTTTCACACACCTACTAAATGTCCATCAGAACAAAAGAGCTGTCATAAACATAGCAACATTGGGATGTAAATCTAAGAGATTCTTACAAACCTTGTAAACTCTTCTAGAACCAAAATGGCAAAAGGATTATCATAGAAATGTTTTACAATAAGCAAAAAAAAGTCAATTTGGTCGTTTGGTTTATAGTATTTGGCAGATGACTTTAGTCATACTATCACATGCTTTGACAATGCATCTACAATCATGGTCGGCACTATGGTAATTACGATCATTATGTAAGATCATCTTCTATTTTCGTCTCTTGAATAACTTCTATGTGTAGCTGACTTTGATTTCTATTTTTTATTTTGTAGCCACGATTTGTTCAACTTGTTGAAGAACTCAATTTTTGTACCAATGCAAAGCTATCTAGATGTTGCAGGTTAAGTCGCTTACCGTCGCTCCACTAAACAGTGTGTTGCTAAAGGTGCCATTGGAATTCTTTTGAATATACTAACGCCTTGATCAATTTGAAACTTGACAGCAATGCAGGTGTGGGAGGTCTCGTCAAATGGACTCCATCTCCGGTTCACAAGCAGCACGTCCTCACATTTCTTAGCGGGTTATTATAAAACATATATTAAATAAACATTAAAATTTGACTATATATGCGTCATCTTTTGTGAAAATACATCTGGCGACATAAATTGTTCTTTTCTCTTTGAAATATTTGTAAGGTTATAGTAAATCGATAATGGTCAAAAGAGAAAATGCGTCTGGTGGAAATCAATTAATATATGAGATTTTTTTCTTTTAGTTTACGAAAATAATAATAATAATAATAATATTAATAACAGGAGAAATATGTTTTCCAGATTTATATTAAAAATTAGTTGGAAATTGGACTATAAGTATTTGACCCCTCTCGTTTGTCCGTAGTGAGCTTAATCTGCAAAAGAAACCAATCTACCTGAGCTTCATAATTATAATCAATCCTCTAAAATGACAACAAAACTTGACACCAGTTTTTTCTCCATTGTTATGTTACATCTTCTTCTGTATGCCTAAATGCATGTAAGTGTTTGAAAACTCTCTTATTTTACGATCTATGAAAATATTTTTCTTCAATTCTCTACATTCATCAAAATTTTGCTTTATACGTTCTGAATATCCACAGCCTATACACTTTGAATCTCCTGCATCACAATAGCTCTGAAGTGAGTTTCTTCAATTTCTCAACTCAAATAAAAAAATGTTTGATAAAATCTACAAAGCCTTTTTTTAAAAGGTTGAAAATATCTTGCTTAAATTTTTTTAGTATATTTATCATAATATCTATTATGAACATTAAACTGAACATCTGTATTCGCCTACACGCCTACAGTCCAAAAACCTCTGCATAACCTCTCCACATAATTTGTTAATCTACCTATCATACTGCTTTTCTTTTGTTACTGGCTTTAACCAATAATTTTTCTTTTTTGGTTATAACTTATAAGATTAGTTTAGATTTTTTGTTTATTAAAACAATATTGACGTGATATATCAATTTGGGTGAATAATAATACTAATAACAAATATTATAAAGATTAATAATAAGAAAACATATGATATCATCATAATATTAATTTTAAAAAAAATATTTAACATTAATTATAATAACTATAGCAAAAAAAAAATGATGTAGATGGTGACTTTCTACATCAATTAATAGAGACAACACCCTTTGCTATCATCATTGCTAAAATACCGGAGTTTAAATCACTAAAGAATATAAATATTAAATTATAAGTTATTTTATATCTATTGACCTTGTCAAAGGAGACTCTCGAGATGGAAGAGAATTTTTTGTTATGCAGAATTCTTGGGGAGTGTGGTTGGGGAACTGTGAATACAGCCGCATGTACCTTCCCCTGATGTTACGTACAAAATTGTATGGTCCGTGGAGGTTAGGGGAGAATAGGCTGGCCAGATTTTAGGACTAAAATAATATTCATGTCTTTGACTTTAGTACTTAATTAATTCTATTTATTTAAATTTTGTTATTTGTTTGTTGTATGTTATCACTTATCAGTTGGAATCAGACTTTTGTTACTTTTAATCTGATATTAACTTTGATTTTATTGCATTTTGTAGCCACACTTTGTTATATCTTTGTACTAATGCAAAACTATCTAGATGTTGTAGGTTTAGTCTCTTACCGTCGCTCCACCAAACCAAACAATGTGTTGCTGAATGTGCTATTGGAATTCTTTTTGAAGATATCAACGCCTTGATCAAATTGAGACTTGACATTAATGAAGTGTTTTGGCCTGTCAGCCTCTTATGGTTCGGAGTAAATTTTTTTTTTTGTGTTTGGTTGACTTTAGTGTCGTATGTTACATGATTCATTAAATTTTCAGATTATAGACATCAGCTCTAAGAACCATGATTCTCATTTTGTCTTTAGCTTCTTGTTTGAAGGATCTTTTGGATAAGGAATCTACAAACTTAATGTTAAAAAAAGAAAAAAAAAAGTGAATCCTGCAAACTCAATAAATATGGAACCAGTATAACTTTAGTTACAAACATATCAACTATGATATCCTAACATTTTTTAGCGGTTTATTATCAAACATGTGTAATTGTGATTAGTGTGGCTTAATGAAAAAATTACAAAGCCTTTTCTAAAGGTTGAAAATATCTTGCTTAAACTTTTTTAGTATATTTATCATAATATATATTATGAACATTAAACTGAACTGTATTCGACTACAGTCCAAAAACCTCTGCATGACCTCTCGATATAATTTGTTAATCTACCTATCATACTGCTTATTATGTATTGGACTCTTTGCCATAATCACATCAAAAGAACCAGTTCAAAAGTTTACAGCATTGAAATATTTATTAGCCGTTAAAGGTTATGCCGTTTAACTTGCTTCTTCTCCTGTTCTTGAAGAGGCAGAGAGCTGCTTCTTGAGGTCGAGGACTTCGAGTGCTTTTGATGCTAATTTCTCCTTCAGCTTTGTAGATGCTTCCTCGAACTTCCTGTTCATGAGTTCTGATTCTTTCACAGAGTGCTTGTGCCTTAGACAGATTGCATCTAAGCGTGCTTGCGTCTCTGAGTCTCATTTTTAGCTTTGTATTCTCCTTGTTGTTTGCTTCTGCATCCTGCAATCAGATACAGCAGAAATATGGTGGATAATTGGTAATATCAGAAATTTTGCCTTGGCATTGGTTCTTTCGGAGTGAAGGATCAATCTTAATCACTGAGAAACATAAGCAAACATTTCACTTGGCATTACCTTGCACAGCTTGGGTTCTTGGCTTGAGACTCTACGAGTCAACTCTTCAGATGGGTTTTTTGCATCTTCAATCTGACAGCAGTAATAGGGCTTTAGTGAGATTGAATGGTTAGTACAACATCTATAATAGAATCATGTCCGCTTGCTCTTAACTCTTTGATACTTAAAGACCTTAAAAAAGAGTTCTGTTGCAATGGCACTGTGGTCCAGGACTCTGAATTAGGACAGGTGCGTTTCCCGTTTTCCTTCAATCTTTATTACATCTGTCTAGGCAAGACAAAAAAACGCTACGATGATCCTGAATACTTTTTTGGATTGGTTGTACAGTTAAGATTTGAAAGTTGGACCTTCTTAGGTATACGTTATCACTTGCTTTATGACTTAATACTTCGATAAATTGTAGGTTATTCAGCCTCAAGGTGATCAGAGGAAGAACGTTTCTACGTTCCTTGTTCAGGTAATTACCGCAGCACCATTTTTTCTTATCGTTTGAAGTTAGGTTTACAGGAAAAGATGGAAAAATTGTATCCTGATGTTAAGAATGTTGAATCAGGCTGGTCTTGTGAAGAAGGATAACATCAAGATCCATGGTTTTTGAGCAAATTCTAGATACTTCATCTTTGCCCAACGACTTGAGTTTGCGGATACAATCAGCCAGTCTCTAAGGCAATATAAACAACCACTTATGTATTAATGTTTTTATATTGTGTCACAACAATCTAAAGGTTTGCTTTATGAGCGAATATAAATGTATGAACGTTCCCTTTGCGTTTCTAGTGTGAGATTATTATCAATAAAACTTGCTTTGTGAAATGTTGGGTGATATTTTTGCATCTTCAATCTGACAGCAGTAATAGGGCTTTAGTGAGACTGAATGGTTAGTACAACATCTATAATAGAATCATGTCCGCTTGCTGCAACCCATTTACATGTTGAATCGATTACTTAGTTTAGCCGTTTTGTATCTTTTGGGTCTTAGTTAGGCCTAGAGCAGTGTACTTAGTTTAGCCGTTTTGGGCTTATTACAAATGGATGACAAGAAATAAAAAACAACAAAAATATAAATTGCAGGCTCGCAGCATCTGCATAAAACAAAAGTTATTAACATACTAATTTATCTTTAACAGCTACTAGAAGAAATGGGGAACTAAATCACACACACTATTTCAAAATGAAAGCTTTGTAGCATGAGCTGATGAAAACATATGGTCAGATAAAGAACATTGCATGTAGAACAGTATGAGAAACTTATCTGAGCCTTCTAAGCTCATTTTGTATTAAATATTAATGCATTAAAATTGTAAAAAAAAATATGGGTGGTTTATCTAGCTGATTGAGGTTTTGATAAAATCTTTTTTGGTGAGTATATAAATAGATACTAGATGGTTGGCCCGCACATATGTCCGGGTATAATTTTTTTGATATACATAGTTATTTGTAATATTTAAATTTTAAACATTTGTATGTTTGTATATATATATATATATATATATATATTTTTTTTTTTTTTTTAACATTTCACAAACTTCTTTCTGAAATCAATGTATTTTAAATTTTTTTATTTTTATAATGTTTGTAATAGTATATAATCATAAATATAAAAGTTATGTTAAATAATAATTAAATTCTTATAATATTAATATGTTTTATTTCTCCTTACACAATCTACAATATGTTTTTTTTTTGCGTCTTACATAATATGAGTTTGTAAATACATATATAATATATTTTAAGTATATATATTTTTATTTATTGCAAATTAAACTGAAATAGTTTTTACCATTTTTACTTATTTTTAAGAGCGGATAGATGGTTGGTACGCATGTGCGGGCATACCAATCACTTCACTACACTTAGAATAATAACGATTCTTTTAAAAATATAAATTGGATAATAATTAAAATAAAAATTAGACTGTAATCAATCTTAACAAAATACATGCACGAAAAAGTTCGCATGTGATTTCAACTAATGTACAACTAATATTTATATATGTACGCGTATTTGTAAAAAAACTGAAATATGGCTCTTACGTGTTAAAATTTTTTTAAGTGACTATGTAAAATAAAGGGCGAGAGATTTATTTTTATATATTTCTATTTTTATCTCTTATTCATATTATTTCATCTTATTATAATTTATTCTTTCGTTCGGTTATTTTCAGTTCATCTATGATCTCAAAATTTTGATATACAATGAAAACAAAATTATGTATATATATATTAATATGATATAAAATTTTATTTTTATTTAAAATATGATAAGATATAAGATGAGATGGTAACATAAGTTATGCACATTTTAGAAAACAACAATAAAAAGATGATAAAAGTTATAGAAAAATATATGGGCCTATTAATATTATAAAATAATAATTAGTATATACTTTATTCATTTAGTAAATATTGGTTTAAAAATATTTGTTTTTAAATTACTTTAAAATACTCAATTAAAGTTATTTATTTTTATTATTTTTAACATTTTATTCTTTAAATTATTTTTATCATGATTGTATTTTATTTACAATTGTATTATTTAATAACTATTTTATTTAAAACTTTTTTAGATTTAATTAATAACTTTCCGAAATAAAAATATATTATACTTAAAGTATTATTAATAAATAGAATTTTTACTATTCTATTGGATAATTTAATATTATTTTTTATTTTTATATGAAATTATAATATATATATTGTTGAAAAAATTTCGTAATTATTTTTTATGAAATTATAAATATATATAAAAAATTAAAATTATAATAGCTTTTATTTTCTGTTAATTTAAATTTGTTAATTTTAGTGTTATAAATATAATTTAGTTTATTTATGTTTTAATTCCACAATTTCTATAATTTCAATTCAACCAATCAAAATATTTTGTTTATTTTAGGAAGTTTGACATGTCACATTTACATGTCATCAATTAAAAGCACTAACTTTGATTGTAGTTTTGACAAGTAAGCAATTTTTAATAATGTTACTTCTCAAATAATATGTAGTGGAAAAGTGACTATCTGATATTTTTTGTTTATTTATTTATTTTTTTGATTTGATATAATATCTCAGTTTAAACCAAAAGCTAAGAGAGTTCTCTTTCCTTTTTTAAATTAAAAGAAAATAAAAAATAATAAGTTAATCATTTTTTAGATTTTGATTTTCGCGATAAAATAATTATTAATCTTTAATAATGATATTTTAAATTATTTTTATTTTCTGTAATACTAGGAAAAGAAAGGTAATATATTTCAGAATATTTCAATTATTTTATACGTGCATACCTGCTCTTAGAAATTTGTCTAATGATTTTTTTCCATAAAATGTAATAATTATAATAAATAAATTAATGTGTAATTGATTATATACTAATTAAAATAACAAGTGAAATAATAAAATAACTATGATTTTTTGGCCAATTATGAATTTTAATTACAATAAATAAAAAATTTTATTAATTTGTAAAAAACATTAAAAGCTTTGATGTCCGGCAAAGGTATTACTTTTTAGGGATTCTTGCAAAAATGATCTAAAATTTGATTTGAATTGCAAATCTAACCCACAAAAATCACTTTCCCAACATTTGTCATTTTGTGTCCAAACAATACTTCATAGTTTCAGTTATTCACGAAATTGCCATTATTTTTAATTAATTTCTTTTATTTTCAGAATTTTCAAATGACCAACTAATCCTCATCTTCCTCACTTATTTAAGAAAATACTCCGAAAGTTGACTTCTTTTGGTCCGAATGAAGTCTACTAGTCAACGCCCAGGTTAGTTTTGCAATTGACCGCATGAAAAAGTAGACTTCTTTTGGTCCGAATGAAGTCTACTCCATTTCCTTTGATAATAAAAAAATGGAGTAGACTTCTCGAGTAGACTTCTTTAGAAGCAGGTCATTTTTGCAATTGACCAACCTTTGACTTTGTAGAGTAGACTTCTCTATGCAAAGTAGACTTCTCTGAGAAGTCTACTTTCGTAAGTAGACTTCTCGCAGGTCATTTTTGCAATTGACCAAAAAGTCAAATATTTTGCAATTGCAAAAATGACCTGTGAGAAGTCTACTTACGAAAGTAGACTTCTCGGAGAAGTCTACTTTTCATAGAGAAGTCTACTAATATTTTGACAATTGCAAAACTAACATGCGAGAAGTCTACTTTTATCCGAGAAGTCTACTTTTCTTGTTTTTTAAAAAAATTCATTTTTATACAATATATAACGAATTTTTAAGATTTTCGCGATCCTAAGCTTATGTTATTAAGTTTTCTTGCTTATGTATAAGTTTTGCATGTTTATATTTTATAGGTATAGTCGAATGAGTTTTCATGTTTTATATGATACTTAGCTTATTAAGAGTAGACTTCTTAGTCTACTCTAGAAGTCTACTATGTAGACTTCATCCGACTTTCAGAGAAGTCTACTTATGCAATTTTGATGTCTAATGTGGTTTGGATTTTGTTCTTTTTCACAGAGAATGGCTCACATACCCGCTGTTTATGGAGAATGGGTTAAGAGTGAATCAGTGTGGCAGTTCGAGGTGGATAATAGCAAGGGAGGGCAAATGTTGTTCTTAAGAGATGGTTGCACACATGGTGAGCTTCTTGGTGAATGTTGGCAAAGGAGGGCGAATAGCAAAGGAGGGCGAATGTTGTCACCTTTAAGTTATGTAAAATTAATGTCTTTAAGAAGTCTACTCGAGACAATGAGAAGTCTACTTCAGAAGTCTACTCGAGACAAGAGAAGTCTACTCGGTTGACAAGTTATATGATATAAATGAGAGAAATGTCCCTCTGAATCACTTTTAAGTTATGTAAAATTAATGTCTTTTAGAAGTCTACTCGAGACATGAGAAGTCTACTCGAGACAGGAGAAGTCTACTCGAGACAAGAGAAGTCTACTCGGTTGACAAGTTATATGATATAAATGGGAGAAATGTCTCTCTGAATCACTTATAAGTTATGTAAAGTTAATGTCTTTAAGAAGTGTACTCGAGACAGGAGAAGTCTATTTTGTAGAATAGATAAAGATAGATAATTTAGGAATTTGATATAAAACATTCAATGCAATTCAACATTACATAGAAAATAACCCTCTAAACAAACAAACATTTAAGGATCAGTAGTTATAAATCTTAAAACTGGCATAAGAAATTACTAGTAAACTAAAATCTCTGAAAATTATGTATGCAACTGAAATCTGCTTGAGAAGTCTGCTCAGGATCGAGAAGTCTACTCGAGAAGTCTGCTCGAGATCAAGAAGTCTACCCGAAAAGTCTACATTCAGATCTACAGAAAAAATCAACAAAATTCAGCTCTGTAACAATAACGAAAAATTTAGATCTAGAACAAAATCTAATAAATTTATACAACAATAAACTCAGATCTACAAATATAAACTTAGATCTATAACAATAAGCTCAAATCTAAACTAATAAGCTCAGATCTATAATAATAATCTACTATATTTATAACATTCAGATCTGAACAAAAATCAACAAAATTCAGCTTTGCAATAATAACAAAAAATTAAAAAAATCTACAAAATTTATACAACAATAAACTCATATCTACAAAAATAAACTTAGATCTACAACAATAAGCTCAAATCTATAATAATAAGCTCAGATTTGCAATATGAACACAAAGCAAACAAAAAGAGGAACACAAAAGCTCAGATTTGCTTACCACTACCATAACCTGCAAGTGAGAGGAGGCTGAATGCAAGATAGAGAGGATGAAGAGGATATTGATAGCAAGAGAGGAAGGAGAAGAAATTCATGGCCAGAGAGAAGGGAGAAGAGAGAGAGGCGGTTTTTT